TCTTTTTTCTTCAAAATCAATTTAGGTTAGGTTACTTTTTTCCTCTTTTTTCTTCAAAAACAATTTAGGTTAGGTTAATTTTTCCTCTTTTTTCTTCAAAATCAATTTAGGTTAGGTTACTTTTTTCCTCTTTTTTCTTCAAAAACAATTTAGGTTAGGTTAATTTTTCCTCTTTTTTCTTCAAAATCAATTTAGGTTAGGTTACTTTTTTCCTCTTTTTTCTTCAAAAACAATTTAGGTTAGGTTAATTTTTCCTCTTTTTTCTTCAAAATCAATTTAGGTTAGGTTACTTTTTTCCTCTTTTTTCTTCAAAAACAATTTAGGTTAGGTTAATTTTTCCTCTTTTTTCTTCAAAATCAATTTAGGTTAGGTTACTTTTTTCCTCTTTTTTCTTCAAAAACAATTTAGGTTAGGTTAATTTTTCCTCTTTTTTCTTCAAAATCAATTTAGGTTAGGTTACTTTTTTCCTCTTTTTTCTTCAAAAACAATTTAGGTTAGGTTAATTTTTCCTCTTTTTTCTTCAAAATCAATTTAGGTTAGGTTACTTTTTTCCTCTTTTTTCTTCAAAAACAATTTAGGTTAGGTTAATTTTTCCTCTTTTTTCTTCAAAATCAATTTAGGTTAGGTTACTTTTTTCCTCTTTTTTCTTCAAAAACAATTTAGGTTAGGTTAATTTTTCCTCTTTTTTCTTCAAAATCAATTTAGGTTAGGTTACTTTTTTCCTCTTTTTTCTTCAAAAACAATTTAGGTTAGGTTAATTTTTCCTCTTTTTTCTTCAAAATCAATTTAGGTTAGGTTACTTTTTTCCTCTTTTTTCTTCAAAAACAATTTAGGTTAGGTTAATTTTTCCTCTTTTTTCTTCAAAATCAATTTAGGTTAGGTTACTTTTTTCCTCTTTTTTCTTCAAAAACAATTTAGGTTAGGTTAATTTTTCCTCTTTTTTCTTCAAAATCAATTTAGGTTAGGTTACTTTTTTCCTCTTTTTTCTTCAAAAACAATTTAGGTTAGGTTAATTTTTCCTCTTTTTTCTTCAAAATCAATTTAGGTTAGGTTACTTTTTTCCTCTTTTTTCTTCAAAAACAATTTAGGTTAGGTTAATTTTTCCTCTTTTTTCTTCAAAATCAATTTAGGTTAGGTTACTTTTTTCCTCTTTTTTCTTCAAAAACAATTTAGGTTAGGTTAATTTTTCCTCTTTTTTCTTCAAAATCAATTTAGGTTAGGTTACTTTTTTCCTCTTTTTTCTTCAAAAACAATTTAGGTTAGGTTAATTTTTCCTCTTTTTTCTTCAAAATCAATTTAGGTTAGGTTACTTTTTTCCTCTTTTTTCTTCAAAAACAATTTAGGTTAGGTTAATTTTTCCTCTTTTTTCTTCAAAATCAATTTAGGTTAGGTTACTTTTTTCCTCTTTTTTCTTCAAAAACAATTTAGGTTAGGTTAATTTTTCCTCTTTTTTCTTCAAAATCAATTTAGGTTAGGTTACTTTTTTCCTCTTTTTTCTTCAAAAACAATTTAGGTTAGGTTAATTTTTCCTCTTTTTTCTTCAAAATCAATTTAGGTTAGGTTACTTTTTTCCTCTTTTTTCTTCAAAAACAATTTAGGTTAGGTTAATTTTTCCTCTTTTTTCTTCAAAATCAATTTAGGTTAGGTTACTTTTTTCCTCTTTTTTCTTCAAAAACAATTTAGGTTAGGTTAATTTTTCCTCTTTTTTCTTCAAAATCAATTTAGGTTAGGTTACTTTTTTCCTCTTTTTTCTTCAAAAACAATTTAGGTTAGGTTAATTTTTCCTCTTTTTTCTTCAAAATCAATTTAGGTTAGGTTACTTTTTTCCTCTTTTTTCTTCAAAAACAATTTAGGTTAGGTTAATTTTTCCTCTTTTTTCTTCAAAATCAATTTAGGTTAGGTTACTTTTTTCCTCTTTTTTCTTCAAAAACAATTTAGGTTAGGTTAATTTTTCCTCTTTTTTCTTCAAAATCAATTTAGGTTAGGTTACTTTTTTCCTCTTTTTTCTTCAAAAACAATTTAGGTTAGGTTAATTTTTCCTCTTTTTTCTTCAAAATCAATTTAGGTTAGGTTACTTTTTTCCTCTTTTTTCTTCAAAAACAATTTAGGTTAGGTTAATTTTTCCTCTTTTTTCTTCAAAATCAATTTAGGTTAGGTTACTTTTTTCCTCTTTTTTCTTCAAAAACAATTTAGGTTAGGTTAATTTTTCCTCTTTTTTCTTCAAAATCAATTTAGGTTAGGTTACTTTTTTCCTCTTTTTTCTTCAAAAACAATTTAGGTTAGGTTAATTTTTCCTCTTTTTTCTTCAAAATCAATTTAGGTTAGGTTACTTTTTTCCTCTTTTTTCTTCAAAAACAATTTAGGTTAGGTTAATTTTTCCTCTTTTTTCTTCAAAATCAATTTAGGTTAGGTTACTTTTTTCCTCTTTTTTCTTCAAAAACAATTTAGGTTAGGTTAATTTTTCCTCTTTTTTCTTCAAAATCAATTTAGGTTAGGTTACTTTTTTCCTCTTTTTTCTTCAAAAACAATTTAGGTTAGGTTAATTTTTCCTCTTTTTTCTTCAAAATCAATTTAGGTTAGGTTACTTTTTTCCTCTTTTTTCTTCAAAAACAATTTAGGTTAGGTTAATTTTTCCTCTTTTTTCTTCAAAATCAATTTAGGTTAGGTTACTTTTTTCCTCTTTTTTCTTCAAAAACAATTTAGGTTAGGTTAATTTTTCCTCTTTTTTCTTCAAAATCAATTTAGGTTAGGTTACTTTTTTCCTCTTTTTTCTTCAAAAACAATTTAGGTTAGGTTAATTTTTCCTCTTTTTTCTTCAAAATCAATTTAGGTTAGGTTAATTTTTCCTCTTTTTTCTTCAATATCAATTTAGGTTAGGTTAGGTTAGGTTACTTTTTTCCTCTTTTTTCTTCAAAAACAATTTAGGTTAGGTTAATTTTTCCTCTTTTTTCTTCAAAATCAATTTAGGTTAGGTTACTTTTTTCCTCTTTTTTCTTCAAAAACAATTTAGGTTAGGTTAATTTTTCCTCTTTTTTCTTCAAAATCAATTTAGGTTAGGTTAATTTTTCCTCTTTTTTCTTCAATATCAATTTAGGTTAGGTTAGGTTAGGTTACTTTTTTCCTCTTTTTTCTTCAAAAACAATTTAGGTTAGGTTAATTTTTCCTCTTTTTTCTTCAAAATCAATTTAGGTTAGGTTACTTTTTTCCTCTTTTTTCTTCAAAAACAATTTAGGTTAGGTTAATTTTTCCTCTTTTTTCTTCAAAATCAATTTAGGTTAGGTTAATTTTTCCTCTTTTTTCTTCAATATCAATTTAGGTTAGGTTAGGTTAGGTTACTTTTTTCCTCTTTTTTCTTCAAAAACAATTTAGGTTAGGTTAATTTTTCCTCTTTTTTCTTCAAAATCAATTTAGGTTAGGTTACTTTTTTCCTCTTTTTTCTTCAAAAACAATTTAAGTTAGGTTAATTTTTCCTCTTTTTTCTTCAAAATCAATTTAGGTTTGGTTAGGTTACTTTTTTCCTCTTTTTTCTTCAAAATCAATTTAGGTTAGGTTAATTTTTCCTCTTTTTTCTTCAAAATCAATTTAGGTTAGGTTACTTTTTTCCTCTTTTTTCTTCAATATTAATTTAGGTTAGGTTAAGTTAGGTTAATTTTTCCTCTTTTTTCTTCAAAATCAATTTAGGTTAGGTTAGGTCTCTTTTTTCCTCTTTTTTCTTCAGAATCAATTTAGGTTACGGTGCAAATTAAATTCCAGAAGATTTAACGAATCTTCCTCAAAATTTAAAAAAAAAAATGAATCATTGATCCATTTCGATAAAGTTAAAAATAATCTCGGTAACAATTGTCGATGAATTTTTCTAAAAATCGTGTGAAAAATTATTATTCCATTGGAATCAGCGAGAAATTTGGCAGAAAGTGGAAATAGCACCCTGCGTAGCCCCCATCGCTAAGAAGGGTGCGTCTGACGATGAAACGAGCGGCGGAGGGCAAGGTGGCACCGTAACGATGAGCGTGAAACAGGCGCAGAATCGCGTCGAATCGTCCCACGGGCCACGTTACACGCATTAGCTAAACGGCGGCTCTGATTGGCTCCCTTCTACGAGCACCGCTTTCATCAACCCCCTAAGGTCAAACGGTTTGGGGTGGAACTGACGAGCCAAGATCAGAAACGATCGCTTTATCTCCTCGGTGCTCGGGTTTCGGGAAGGGAATGCAAAACGTGCCTTATTCTGCACACTGATATCTGATACGGAATTAATTTTGTGTTTACGAGGAAAGGGTTAATTGGGAACAGTGGAAGGGTTTAAAGATTCGAATTTTTGAGATTTCGGATTTTTTATTTTTGGAAATTTGGGGATTGGAATTTTTAGAGATTTGAGGATTGAAATTTTTAGAGACTTGGAGATTGGAATTTTTGTGGATTTCGAGATTGGGATT